CCTTCCCTTCCCCTCTTTTCTTTCTTCTACATGCCAAATTAGAGTTTCCTCTTTGCTTTGACTATCTGAGAGTTTAGGACAGACTTTTTAATTCAGTTACGATGGCTTTATAACAAAATACTTTTTAAAAAAGAATAATTTTTATTATTCACTTCTCACATATTACTTTATTTAGTCTTTAAAGCTCAGTCTTGACATTATTTTTCTATGAACTACTTCAGTGTTTTTCTTGAAAATAATGTATAATTTTACAAAGAAATAGAATAAAATCAGTCTTCTCCTTTCTAAGTTAAAACACAGTATGATGCAGTATTACCATATAGTACAAAAATGTACAGTGTTTTGGTTAGCAGCACACTCTACTAATTCACCACCCTAGCAAGATTTCTGGCACAAGTTAAATCTTCAGAGAATGTTGCCGAAATGACTACTGTTTTGTTTATCTTCTTCCAGAGCTTGGACTCTTAAGAGTTTGTAAAGAACTTTAAATACTATTTTATCCAACCTTTTATTTTATGATTTGGGGAGACTAAAACTAAGGAAGAGAACCTGGCTTACTGAATAAACTATTAGACTACAGACATATTTTTTTGTGCTTCAGTGCTTTGATACTGTGGGGTTGTGCCTTACAGAGTGAAGGTTTGTGGTAGCCTGTTTCAAGCTAGTCCAATCAGTACCATTTTTCTAACAGCATGGACTCACTTCTACCAATATCATATTTTGGTACTTCTTCCAGTATTTTAAACTTGTTCGTAATACTGTTTCACACTTGACAACACTCCCCTCAAAATAACGCCACTCCTGTAGAATTGATTCCAGCTCATTCTGACCCTCTGTCAGGTTTTCGAGGATGTAACTCTGTTCAGGAGGAGACTGCCATGTTTCTGCAGCATAGCAGCTGGTGCATTCCACCCACTCACCTGTCATTTACAACCTAACATGTTCTACACTGTATTTCCAGGCTCCCTTGACTACAGTATAGTGTAAATATAACTTCCATATGTACTAAGAAAAAAAAAAGTAAATTTATTTCTTAACATAGTTATTTTATTCCACTGTTCTAGAACCAAATCTCTGTGGTAGGAAACTGGTTATAGCTGATTTCGTGGCTCTTAGTTTACTACTAAGACCCATTTTCCCAGCCCTGGGAGACCCGTTGTCTCCCCTAATCTCCTTATAGAAGTCTGTGTTGCTTCTGTTACCTTTCCCACTGAACTATAAACTCCCTGAAACCAGGAGGAACATTTTATTCACAGAATTTAGGACAGTGTCTCACACATAGTCAAGACTCAATAAATGCTGTAGCATGCTTGAATAAGAAATCTTGTGTCCATAGGGCAGGTTAAAGGAGGGTTTTGCCAGAATTACTAGACCTGCTACATAGGATTTCTGTTAGAGCTCAAATAGCTGGGGAGGAACAGATTGGCAGACTGAATTCATGGTATTAAAATGGAATATATGGAGTCTAGTGACCACATTCATAGGATTGCTCCAAGTTGGAAGCACAAATTGGAACCACCTAATAAAAACAGGTCTGAGAAGAAGTGGCAGAGAGGCCTTTAGTAAAATCACTTTGCCTGCAGTGTCTCATCCATGTAAAACTGCTGTTACTCAGGGGCTTGGAAAAGTAGAGGCTCGGCAAAAGAGGAAATATCCTTAATGAGTTGAATTGGCATTGTGACTGGGACAATGAATGGACTTGAGCTTGGTAGACATTGTG